TTTATGACAACGTTTCTCCCTGTTGATATGCAATTGCCAAGCACCATTCACATTGTTATATATGTTATATCTGTCATATAACAACTAGTTGTGTGCATATGATACAAAAACAACCTTGGGCCCTTTCTAACTACTCCATGTATTTCTTTTACAATTGCAATAGAATGTCTTTTGCAAGATCTGCAACCCTCCCTGAGCTGCTCTGATGAAGAGCTTAGTGATGCATCAGCAGACCAAAGAGCTCCTCTGACTTCTCTGGATTGGAGCATTCACAATGCTCTCTTTTCTGAGAGATGGAGGGAAAAGAGACCATCTCTTCTTAGTAGCATGCTGGCCAAGGAGAGCGTGGCAACAAATGGCTGGTTGTAAATGTAAATATTACCTTGTAGGACGGTATGATCTCAACATGCCTGAGCTGACCTGCGAGGGATGCCCGGCAACTTGGACTGCAGGACTTGATGACCTGATAAAAACTGGATACTGACCTGCCACCCTTCATTTTGTAACAATTTATGAGACAGACCTGTTTTATACGTTTGAAGACATGAAGATGGCATCACCCGGGATGTCTTTTCAGGCATATCTAAGAATGCTTGAGAAGCGGACTGCTCGCTTTGGCCGTGTAAGTATTTCTCTATATGTTTGTGTTTTGAAATGGAAAGGTCTTTGTTTAAAAAATTGTTTTGTGCTTTTTTCTTTTTACATAGACTGGGAAGATCTCATCAGACAGCTTCCAAAAAAGCTTTTTTTGAATGGGCTGCTGTACAATATGAGGTTGACTCCACCTGCAAGGAGGAGAAATTCATCTGTCCTGCCTGTACCCCAGCAATGCTTTCTGTCTCGGTGGATGGAAACCGCAAGCGTTACCGCTTCAAAAGTACTGCAAGGTATACAATAATGTACAGATAGATAGTTAGGTTTTATACAACAAGTAACCTTTCGATGTATGACATGTTAAAAAGATAGTTAAGGTGTTTTGAAGTGGGGTTGTATGAGGTACTTATCCATGGTCAGTCTGTTACCTACAGCAGACAATGGTCACCGCCACCCATCCCCTGCCTCTATTGTGGAGAAGCAGAAAAATGTGTTTTAGCCACATATAAAAGACCCACCTGAAAAAAAACCCAATATCCAGGATTGTAGTTGTGGTTAGATGTAGAAATATGCATTTCTACAGTTGAGACAATGTAGTGCCAAGGAAAAGGGCTGTCTGAACACTGTGTACTGTAGGTAACACACTTACTATGGATAAGTACCTTATACCATCCCACTTCAGAGTACTCAACTATCCTTTTAAACATTGAAGCCTTTTTATTTCTTGTTGTTTTTTTAGATCTCAGGAGCGGGCCATCTTTGACGGTGTCTTCATTGCAAAAGATGACGATGTGACCAGATTTGTGGATCACATCCACAGCAAAAATAAACATGTAATAGCAGACTTCAATTTATATCTCAATATAACATTATAATTCATAGTCTGTCAGTACTCCCATGTATTGTGATATCTACCTGTATACCTAATTGTTCTTAATCTGCTAACACTTATCTGTTCCTTGTCCCCTAAGAGAAATGTATAATTGTTCCCTGTAATGACTGTTGATGGGATTATTTGTCAATTATGATTTTCTACAATGTAGGGCACTGGAAGGAGCAATTGTGGTGGGGAGTGGTCAGCTGCCAGAGAGACCAATCAGTAAGGTGGATGAGGAGGGACTGGAGCTGGCAGTGTGCAGGCATGATGTCTTGCTGGCTGCCCTTAATATGTTTGTACATGCTAAAGCGCATGACTTCAAATGTGAGGTTAGTATAATACAGTACATTTTTATCAAATGACTTGCAATCCTATAAATGATGCATATAAATGTGTAATGTTTAACTATCACTTAACAGATTATTTAACATTTGTATTGTTATTGTTGTTGATGTGAACAGCCCTTAATTGACACATGTACTTTTGTCAAGGATATTATTTTGCACCTGTCTGTGTATGTTTGTTGGTAAGCAAGATTACTCATGAGGTTTACCACTAATGTACACACAACTTGGTGGAAGGGTGACAGTTTGATTTTTGATTAGGTTTTAATTGAAATAAAAGTGACTGTTGGGCATTGCTTGAGGTCTCTGCTGTACTAAATTCCCTTGATGTTTCTGTTTGGGTCCCTCTCTCCAGGTGAAATGGAGTAGCAAACCAAGAAGGTGCTGGTAAAACACTAGGGGAGGAAGTAGAGCAATGTAATGCTTCCCTCTCCAGGATAGCAGTCACCACAAAGCATATGTCAAAAGCAGGTGCTGTATAATTGTACCTCTGTATACAGAATAAAAGACCTTTATATTATTACAAGTGAATCTTTACAGAACTCATCTCTGTGTACTTGCAGGACGCAATGACATGCTGACACTCCTTGCCATAAGATGGAACCAGCAGAAATGTCCAAACCTGGCTACTGCACTTTCCCAGAGATACCATAAGGTAAATAGAAACAATATTATTTTGCTGCAATGGCACAGTGTAGGTCAATGAAACACACATACAGTTTTGTGCACATAGGCTTGTGATACATGATAGTTACAACATTTGCCTGATTTGAGTTGCATTTGTACACTGTATATGTTGTACTGACTTTTAGCTCTTGGTAATAATTTTGTCATTTTAGACATCTAAAGCTCTCAATATCCCGATTGGGGACCTGGAAACCCTGAAAGCCCCGCATCAACTGGGTGAACAAACTGTGGAAGAATTTGTGCAAGAAGTAAAAGAATGGGCCGATGGTAAGAAAGTGAAACATTATCTGACATGGAGAAACATTTGTGTCGTTTGTGAAGTTGACGCTACCTGCAATCAATTTTGTCAGGAGAAATTGACCATCAAGGCACACCACAAGCTTTGTGTAAGAAGATTGAGGCCTTAACAACCAGCATCAACACGAGAGCTCAACTCCTATATTGGAAAAATGGTATGTTAACATTTAAGGCCTTTTCAGATCACAGTCTGAAATGTCTCCAAACTCACTTCATAATTGGCAAATTACACAGAGTGGTATGCATTTCATGTACTGTGCGTATTCTTTAGTGGTGGAAGAAGTATCATATCCTTTACTTAAAAGCATGAAGTCTGTTTACAAAGTAAGAAATACTGATACTACACTGTAAAATTACTCTGATCACAAGTAAAATATTCAGTATAATCAGTAAAGTATCCTTAAAGCACTAAAAGTTGAAGTTGTCCAATAATTGTAGTGAAGTAAAAAGTAAAATACTTTCTTCTGAGATGTAGTGCAGTAGAAGAAGAAAGTAGCATAAAAAGAAAAGTGCCAGTACCTCAAATTTATACTAAAGCACAGTACTTTAGGGAATACACATTTCATCATTAGTATTCTTACATTTAGGTGTTCCAGTGGACATATTTGCATTCTGACCAAGTGTGCATATGTATGACAGAAATGATCTCTGAAGCTACATGCTATATGCAGTGGTCTGAACTTTTCATATTGATGTATTACAGGCTCTGCTGATTTCAGCACAAAGAAAGAAGTCTTCCATAGGGTCATGGGTGTTCGAAGGCTTCAAGAGGAGAAGAAGATCCTTGTGAAAGAAATGAAGCAGCACTGGGAGTCTCCCAAAGCCCATGCCAGGGTCTTGTCCGAGTTGCCTCAGCATCAGAGTGAAGACGCCATGCAAAGTAAATGCGGCCTTGTACTTCATTTTTTTAAATTCGAATGTTTCACAAAGTTATGTTTAAGTTGTGAAAGACGTGTTATTTACCTGGATAGTGACATATTTTATCCCTTCTTAAGGACATCTCACAGAGAAAGCAACAAAGGGTCACACCTGCCTCATCCTTCCAGTGGGAAATGAGAGAGCTGCAGCGGCATACAAGAAAACACTACCTGCATGTGCTGTCATCAGCAGATGACATAATGGACACAATGGACAGTTCAGATGAGTTCGACATTGGCTGTGAAGATTCAGAGTCAGATGCAATGTAAAACAGGAAGATGTGGTGCTCATGATCACAGTGCACCGTGTGCGACACATGGTCACACAGAGCATGTGGCTTTAAAAAGTGACTAACGTATGTGCTCATTGTCAGGATTAAGTTGGAGATGACAGTTGTAGTTTTTGTATTAGGTTGTTGTTATTTCTGCATTTGGTTTTGAAATGTTTCATCACTTATATAAGGTTGGATTTTTCTACTGGGTTGTGGGAAGTTCCTGGTCTTACATCTTTACAACACAAACCACTGTCCTTTACTGTCTTATCTTTGATTCACGTTCAGTTCTGCATCTTTTCAGGGATTTTCTTTCCAGTTGATCTTTACTGTTTGATTAATAATTGTTCTTTAATGTTTAATTAAACAAAGGCACAATGAAGCTACATTTCTGATTGAGTCCTTGGATGTTACTACTGTTAGACTTATTTTATCTGAGCAATTCCCACATGCTTTCAGAGTACATGAATTCAGTATATGGCAAGAGGAGAGATTCAGAGGAAGGACTAGTGATATGGGATTTTCAGCATCAAGTTTTCAATAACATGAACAGTTTTAATGCAATTATATAGTATAACATCCAACTTTACACAGGTTGAATGATTTAGCAAACCACATTTCATAGTGATATACTGTATATCAGATGAACTAGCCAACGTCAAAACGTATGTAACATGTAAAGAAAAGACTCAAAGTAAAAGTATCTCAAATTTGTACTTAATTACAGTACTTGAGTTAAAGCACTTTATTACATTCCACCACTGGTGACACAGAGACATATGCAAAGCACCCGGTAGATTCAAATGACTATAATTAGGACTATGACCAAATAATATATATATATATATATTACCGCTCCCACACAGACACACGGCCATGGGCCTGCAATCTACAACTGCATGACCATAAAGTGGATTTTTTTGGAGGATGTGGTGGCATATTAGAGGTTTTGAGAGTGCTGCCTGTTGAAGAATGCTCTTTATTATTATTTATGTGGTGCATCACTTGACTGTATTCTCCTTTAAATATGTGTTAGTGTTAGGCAACATGGGCCAAGTGAGTGCCCTGCTGTGGGGGTATGGGATGTTGGCATGCCCGTGGCGAGAGGACCATTGTCTCATAATCTGTCTATAGGTAAAATAAGGTCTACACTAGCCCAGATCCCAAATGATGAATGTGATTAGGAAAAAAATCAATACCTTGAAGGTTTTTACCAAACATATAAGCAAAAATCCAAAACCTTGAGTTCATCCAGGCTGGAGTCTCAAATGGTCTCAGAAACTACACCTGAAAGAGGCCGGCACCAAACAGAGGTGAGAATTAAACTTTGTCCTAGAACAAAATTAAAGACATTTTTGGAAAGGCCTCGTCCTGGTGAGTAACATATGTCAGTTTGAAGATTTTAAGTGGCTCCTACTGTGAAATATTGACCTCTGAACCTTGACCTCGGTGCATATTGGAAGGCTTGTCATTCAGCAACAGAAGAGGCTACAGACATGGGACCAACTGTTTCAGAAAGCTCTTGACTTCAGCTATGTGACTATATTCATATAAATATAGTCACCAAGTGGGGGCACTGTCATGTATGATCAAAATGAATTTTCACCAATTTAACAATTGCATATTTACAATCTGATCAAATAAATGTGTTTCCCACCCCTTTAAATCTATCAGCATACTGTTAATTTAATATTTACAACTTCCATTTTTAGGAAATGTACCATTAAAAACAAAAACTACAATTCCCTTGTGCCGCGCCATGCAGCTTGATACAAATAAGCACCATGTTTGTAGTTCTTCTGGTTTGCAAAGTATTGTTAAGAATAGGGTCGTAAAAATATATATTTAATGAATATATCGAACATTAAGTGCAGCCGAATTAGTAATTACACTCCATCTATGTGATTAATGTTAAGAAACAGTAAAGATGTTGGCTTATGTCAGATATACTAACTGTTATTCTATAAATGTGGATTTGGGTTAGCTAGTTCTTCCGGTTTTCAAAGTAGGGTTGTAAAATAGGGTCATAATATCAGACATCTATTGAATATATCAAACATTTAGTGCAGCCGAATCAGTAATTAGATTTCATCTAGATGATTGATATTAAATAAAAGTAAATATGTTTATTTCACATAGTTTTACAGCCGCTTCATATATTTTTTTCTGTTTTCTTTTTTGACTTCTTTTTAAATTTACATATATACATGTTTTTAAATTCTCTTTACTGAAATACTGTTTGTAATGTTTTATGATTGATGATGGGTCTCGTTCGCGGTACTTGGTAACGCGGGTCCTTTAACTGTCCTCGCGCGGGAAACACAGGTTTAATGTTTAGTAGAAGGAAGAAACAGGTAAGAAACACAGTTAATGTTTTGAGTGTGTACCTACAAATGTAAACTATAAAACAATATAGTTTGTATATTTACAGATGCAGCAATATTACTTTTGTGCTACACACAGGTATAACACATTAAAGAGGTTTCAGTGTAACATCAGCATTAATGCATGCTCTGTTATACACAGTATGCTGGTCAACGGGAAATTGGTGATTGTTATCTGTATTTAGAAAGTCCTTGCAGTCAATTAGACCCACCGGCGACAACGGCAGCTCCTACCATTGTTGTAGTTTCAGTGTGTTTTTACTATTTTGAACTCTTTTCTTACTTTCTCACTTTGTTCACGTCGCCTAAATACTTTTTTGGCGTTTTTGAGCACTTTTTATTTTTTGTTTACGCTGGTCTCCATGGCGACGGGGAGTCGTATTGTTTTCACCCGCGACCAGATGATCACCCTGAGGTACCCGAGCATCCTGACCGGAGAGAGAGCCTCCATACCGGAGGAGCTGAGGAGACGGTGAGGCTGCAGAGCGGGTTGAACGGAGGATGAAGAAGAGGAGCTTTAAACCCTTCATCCCTGCAATCATCGAGCAGATACCGGACTCCAACGTCACCATTCCCGGCTTCCAGACGGTTGGAGCCGACAGGGACACCACCGGGACCGGCATGAAGAAAGGAGGGGGACTGTCCGTGCTCATCAACAACAGCTGGTGTAACACCGGGTTCCTCACAGTGGTCTTCATCATCATCATCATCACTGTTTCTATTCCTTACAGTGGTCTTCATCATCATCATCACTGTCTATGTTCCTCACAGTGGTCTTCATCATCATCATCATCACTGTTTCTATTCCTTACAGTGGTCTTCATCATCATCATCACTGTCTATATTCCTTACAGTGGTCTTCATCATCATCATCACTGTCTATGTTCCTCACAGTGGTCTTCATCATCATCATCATCACTGTTTCTATTCCTTACAGTGGTCTTCATCATCATCATCACTGTCTATATTCCTCACAGTGGTCTTCATCATCATCATCACTGTCTATGTTCCTCACAGTGGTCTTCATCATCATCATCACTGTCTATGTTCCTCACAGTGGTCTTCATCATCATCATCACTGTCTATGTTCCTCACAGTGGTCTTCATCATCACTGTCTATGTTCCTCACAGTGGTCTTCATCATCACTGTCTATATTCCTCACAGTGGTCTTCATCATCACTGTCTATATTCCTCACAGTGGTCTTCATCATCACTGTCTATATTCCTCACAGTGGTCTTCATCATCATCATCACTGTCTATATTCCTCACAGTGGTCTTCATCATCATCATCACTGTCTATGTTCCTCACAGTGGTCTTCATCATCATCATCACTGTCTATGTTCCTCACAGTGGTCTTCATCATCACTGTCTATGTTCCTCACAGTGGTCTTCATCATCATCATCACTGTCTATATTTATGATGTCCTATTTATTCTCCTGTGCAGCACTTTGGTTGTTTTTAAAGTGCTCAACAAATAAAGTTGGATTGGAATTGTAACTTAGTTCTTTTCATGTGTCACACTCTTATTTTCTTTTCCATTCATCTTCCTCTCAAAGTCATGACGAAGCCCAAAACAAGAAGCTGTCCCTATTGTGGAGCAAGCATCATGCCAATCAGAAGACCAGCTGCTGTGTTTGCCTCCTGCAAAAAAAGTCATTCAAAGAAAAAGAAAAGGCAGTGAGTATTGACTTTGATGTGTTGTGTGTGCGGATCCATTGTATTCATTAAAGGTTGTTGAACATAATGCCGCCTCTTTATATGAGCCACCCCTAACCTTACATTTAGCTAAAGATTCAAAATGAGTTGGCTCATTATTGACATGTGGGCTTGTGGTCCAAATAGCATTTTTTTCTGATCAATAGCACATTTTTCACCAATGAGGAGAGAGCTAGGCCCGGTTCCAGAACCAAATGACTTCAGGTGCATCTCACATTAGTGGTGGTACCCTAGTAGCTACAGTGCGAGCTGCCAACAGCTATTAAAGTAGAGCAGTGTATGATGATCCAGAGTTGGGTCCCAGATAAACAGATTATGCTGAACACAGACGAATAAAGTTTAACAGCAGTAAGTTAAACAGGGTGTCAGTCATTTTCAGCAACAGGTTGCTTTACGAGTCAGAAGGACACCCACACCCTCAAACTCCAGTCCTCAGAGGAATCGTGGCTAAATACTGTGACCAGTGCAGCGCAAACACATTATATCATTAATTACTAAACTATGTGTCCATGTATGAGGTGGGATACATTAGAATTCCAAATAAAACAGTCTTTGTCCGAAATAATCATATAATCAATCACTTTATATATTATTAGATTAACTATTTATGGGAAAATCATACTTCATTTGTCATTGGCTGCAGATTGGTGGTGAGGTGTGTTCATGTTGTGACTCTCTGAACCATCCAGACATTTCCAGAGACGAAGATTTCTATTTGTTGAGCTGTTGCTATCGTGTTTAACTGATTAGCTCAGTTGTTTCAGAGCTCTGAGACCAGTGATGTGACAAGCTGAGAGAGTATTTATTAATCACCACACCCGCTGACCTTTATTAATCTTCATCCAACTCTTTGCTGATTGAGCTGCTGGTGAGCATGAAGATGCCCACGCAGTCCATGTGCCAGACCACCTTATGCTTGGCATTAATATGCAATTTGAACTGAAAGTGCAAAATATTAAAATGAGGGTGCAATGCATGTGTTTGCAGCTCCGAAGAACTAAACTAAAAAGAAATGGAGGGAGAACTTGTTTCGGCCATGTCTGTCTCCTGAGCTTTATGATATTTCAGACAGAAACTATAATAACAGAGACAGTGAACTCTCTGTTAACAAGTGCTTCATCCCAGCGCTCCACAGAACCCTGTCCACACCTTTCTGTCTGAAAGAATGTTATATGTACACACACCTACAGTTCATTAGAAAACTCTCAGGAAACCCTTGAAAAAGATTATAGACATTAGCAAACACTGGTGCACACATAACACTCAAATAAAGTGAAAACAATGGAACATGTCAGTGTGTAATAATAATGCCATGTTAACATTTTGTGTAATTTATTGTGTACATTTCAGGTTTAGCAAGCTTGCTGCCTTGGGCTACAACCCAATGTTGTTCATCAGGAAGAAGAAGAAGAGGGTGAACACAGTAAATGCTGAAATGATCACCTACATGTGCCCTGGAGGGGACGGGCCTGTAAAAGCCTTTTTAGAAAAGATGAGCAGGGCATATGAGTACATTATTAAAATTAAGGCAAACATCTGTTTTTATGATTTATGCTTTGGGATGTTCTGTCATTGTGAGTAATATTTATATTTATATTATTTCAGATTCTCAAAGGATGCAATTGCCAGAAGCTCCCAGCCCATCTCCAACTCCACAGTCTACCTCCTCTCCCTCCCAACCCTCTTCTCCTCCTCATCCTCCAGACCCTTCCACCTTTCTCCCATCTACTTCTCATCCCCAAATGGACTATGAGGAGGAGACTTACACCCTAACCCTTGTCCCTGTCCGGCCTCCAAGCACCGCCTCAGCATCTCCCTCTCAAAAAACCATGACTGAAAGTGAGTGTTAGCATTAATCACCTTCTGCCATATTTTAAGTAATGTGTCTAAAGTCATCCACCTTTGTCACAGGTGTGTGTGCACAGTGCTCCCGCTCTCCCACACCTACTATCTCCCTGACCAGTGCAACAGGTGAAGGGAAGAAAAAGAGGAAGAGAGGTATTTTTTGTTTTTACAGCCTACTCATCAAATTAAATGTGCAATGCAATTCCTTGATAGCAGCATGATAATATTGTTTGTGTGCATGTAGACACAATGAACCAGACACATGCAAAGAGAGATTGCAAACAGAAGACTTTTCGGAGAACAGTTTTTTTCCTAATCCCTGTTATTATCAATAACAATAAAAAAACATAAAGGATTACTCACTAACTTGTCCTCATCTACATGTAGAAGATAAATTATTCATGAGATAAAACAAAAACTAATGTGGACACATATCAGACAAAAGACACTCCTTCTCTTCCTCTGTGCGTCAGCATTGTACAGCTCAACTCTACTCTATTCACTTTTGGGTCCTCGACTTCCTTTTCCACTGTAGATAGAACTTTGGATGGACCCCTCAATGTAGGCAGAGGTGATTGTCAGAGCAATGAAGTTGGGAAACAAGCTTTACTTTGGTCTTGAGAAGCTGCAGCCTTTCTTTATTGACAGACTCTAAGCTACACTGTACATTTACTGCCACACTGACAACACACTACGCACATAAACAGCTACGCTACTCATAACAGAGGATATGAAGCTATGTTCTGGACAAGTCTGGACTTTGTCAGTTGACCACAGCATGGTGTAGTGGGCTGCCATTTTTGAGTGAATAAAAAAAACTGAACTATTAATGATAGTTTGGCTTTTTAAAAATCTAGACTTTATGCAGGACGTCAACTGTCATGTGACTAATCAGTGGTTGGCAGTAATGTCACACCACCTTTTAGTATCAGCTCAGCTAGCTCGGAACCTTGACCAAGGTGTACCAGGTCCACAATAACAATCAAAGAACAGTGAACAGGTGAGATATCATGATCAAGAAGGTGGTTCAAACCCAGGGTGAAGCTCAGCCATTGCTTCGGTTGTGCTGACCCCTGTGAGTTCTGTATTCACCTGGGGGATGTCAAAGTCTGTTTCTACATTTATTCTCCTTCTTTCTTCTTTTCTTTTTTTGCATAATTTTAGGCTGCTGAAAATGTTTGAAGCAAAAAAATATTTCACTACAATGAAATAAAAGAAACAACTAAAGGAGGTAAGTAACTGACTGAGTGAAATAGCAGTTCATTTAACAGTGGTTGCTGGAATGTTTCTGTGTGTGTGTGTGTGTGTGTGTGTGTTTCTGTGTGTGTGTGTGTGTGTGTGTGTGTGTGTGTGTGTGTGTGTGTGTGTGTGTGTGTGTGTGTGTGTGTGTGCAGGGAAGAGAAGAGGTAAAAGTGAGCTGGCTGCCTTGTTCCTCATGGTAAGAGCTCAGATAAATATATATGTACTTACTTCCACACTGGTTAGTAGCAGGCTTCTGAAAAACTGATCCTAAGTCATTTGTTGTTCTATGATACCTCATTGATATAAACTAATATTGTGGGATATGCAGTGATCTTACACTTGTTTGCATTCATTCTTTTTTTCAGTGGCAAAACTTGGGAAGACACCTGGGAGCCTGCCAGCAACTTTATAGGCTCCATTTAATGTTTTTGTTTGTGTGTCTTTAAGACACCTGTATGTTGAGTGTTGTTCTCTCTCTCTCTCTCTCTCTCTCTCTCTCTCTCTCTCTCTCTCTCTCTCTCTCTCTCTCTCTCTCTCTCTCTCTCTCTCTCTCTCTCTCTCTCTTCCTCTCTCTCTCTCTCTCTCTCTCTCTCTCTCTCTCTCTCTCTCTCTCTCTCTCTCTGCATGAATAAAAATAAAGATTTGTTCATTTGTTTTATTTCAGTTCAGTTTCAGTTTGCCTTTTTCATTACATTTTGAATGTTCCTTTCACACACTCATCCACATCTCCTTTAGTTTTTAATATGCAAGTCATATATACAATGTTATATCATAAGCAATGAAAAAAATATACATAGGGATGTGTAAAAACATCAGTATGTACAGAATCAATGGAGCAGGAGTATATGCAGTCAGTGTTTGAGTGAAGAAGACTGATAAATATGTCCATGAATATTTGTTCATGTATGAACAGTGTTGTTACTGTCTGTGATGTGCCATGTTAATTAAACTTAAGTTATATTCATATTTAACATATTCATATTTCATATTTAATTATATTTAACGGCACTGGCAGTGGCTAAAGTAAACCAATGTGACACACAGACAGGAAATGACTAAAACCGCTCTGTCGTCCAATGGTTTGTATATTTGAATGTTTTTTCAAGAATGATTTTAAGAAGAAATCTACAACAAACGCAGAGGAATAAAAATGAAACGCTTGTGCTTATAAAATCCTGTGATTTGATGAATAAAATATGCATTGATCTATACAGAATATTAGATTATTGTCTGTTTGGGTTTTATAAAACTCTCCGTTTACAGTTTCTAGCTGGTAGAATGTGTCTGTTGTCTGTGGACAAATAAAATATTAGCAGAGGTT